GTAATGCGAACAGTTTTCCATAATTCATGAACAGCGGGCGGTGATTTTCTGCTTTCCCTCAATTTGCTTTGCATTTGCTTAATTTTTCTTATTTTTGAAGGTTCTTTGAGGGTGGTGAAGGGGGGTGGTGCGGGGTCTAGCGACAGCTGCACATGAGTCGCATGGCCAAGTGCAGCGCTCAGTTGCTGCCACTTAGCCTTGGATGCAACAGGTGAACTGCGTTTGGCAGTTGGGTCTATTCAAGTAGATATATTTTGTTGTTGTTCTATGCTTAGCCTGAACCGGACGGAAGCAGCAATTAGCAGGCAACATAATTAATTTATCAAAAATCAACTAACGAAAAGTGCGGGCACACGCACACCGGCACACACGCACACGCACTCCCAACAACTACATGCAACAGGTCAGCGAAAGATGAGACGCATATAAATATTTATATTAGAATATCCAGCGTATATACAAGTTAAGCATAAAACACATTCTACACCCAACATGTACGAGTTTTATTGATTTTCTCACTGCTTTTGGACAGCGCATATGTTCTATGTATTCAAATATTAACACCCTGTTCGGCATACCAAATTTCGGTGCCATTAAAATTTATGGTTTTATTGGCCAAACTGAAGTCTGTTTGGCTCGCAAATTATTTAAGCTCAAGTTGAAAGGTATTAGGTAACTATATTATGTACACCTAACTCACCCCCAGTCGCTCAGAGTCTATAAAATATCAAACACAATTACAGTCACACAATTAGTAGATGAAAGTTTTAGTTTGCTTTAGTGTAGTTGGCCAGAAGCCTTTAATATTTCTACAGAGATACACTATAATATTAAATATTCATAATTGAGTGCTCGAGTCGGAAGTGCCAGTCGCTTGGCTTTTTCTTCCCTCGCCCCACACTATGGGAAATGAGTTCTAGAATAACTTCGGTGTTTATAGTCCGATCTTTATGAAATTTTCACCTTGTGCCTCAGTATGACAACTGTGCATATATCCCTCCGATTGAAAATATAGCTTCAGAAATAGAGCAAGTATTCAATAAATAAATTGTTCCAAATTATTCCTGTGTGCATACGAGAACCAATATACCAAGTTTGATTAATCTAATTCTTATAATTTTCCAGTGTGATTTTAAATAAATATATCTTAAAATTGATATTTATCAATATTATGTAAATGGAGATATCGAAATAAACAAAATCCTTTCTGCTATGGTATGTTATACGAGAATATATATTTTAAATATCAGGTAGCTAGCTCTTGTAGTTGTTGCATTCATACAGACGGACAAGGCTCTATAGGCGCTCTCTCTCTATGACGCCTTATGAAGGCGGATATGCCTTCTGCCTGTTAAATACATTTTCACAAACATATCTTACACGATTTGGGTAATTTCAATAGGTTGGTTCAGGGCTTAATAAAAGTACATATAAGCCCAAAATTGATGTCAAATATTTAAGCTTAGACAGCCATAATTTTTAACAAGATTATTCAGCATGTAATATTAATAATAATTAATGCTCATACCCATATTCGGATGGTTTATTTAAAAAATTTCTCAAAGGTTTTACCTGCATAAACAAAAAGTTTTCTTTTATAAGATGTAGTTTCCGTTTTGGATATTCAAATTTGCACTTATAGCAGACCACTCTGTACACTTCCTGCAACACTCTTTGGCAAAATTACACTTATTTATTATAAAGATTTCGTAGCTGGTTTTCAATTTCACTTGAAACTCGCGGATTAGTGCGTCGCTTTCAAAATATGATGGCACCTGCAGGGGCACCTGTTGCGCCTGTTGGCCCGAGCTCAAAATCTGGCTTCGATATTGGCGCGCTAATTTAATTGACACTTGCCGATTGATGCGGCTATTAAATTGGATGGAAAACTTTGCGGGTCGCGTTTCAATCACAATTATTTGTGGGTATTTCGTATTATTCGCCTTGGGGATTTGCTGTTATTTATGAAGTTTTATGGCGCTCGGTGTTTTTGAGCCCAATCAATATTATTTTTATTTTTATTTAGATTAGTTTTTATTGTATTTTCTTTTGGCACATTCGCGCCTGCCTCGAAATTCATCCGCGCTGCCCAACGCTCGATGGCAAAATGCGCAAACAATTCGCTGGGATACGACGCTGCCGCCAACGCCGACGCCGATGCCGACTCCGATGCCGATGCCGGATAAGCAAATGTGATAGCGTGTTCCCTACGACTGCGGCGGCGTCTGTTGCGCAGCGGCGTTTCGTTGGGACACGACGCGGATTCGACTGGATTCGGCAGCAGGCGAGAACAAGCCACAGTTCGGAACGCAGACCCAGTCGCACTCCCAGTTGCCCACTTTGATGCTTTCGCATGTTGAATAATGCACTCTGTGCATGTGTGTGCGTACGTGTGTGTGTGTGTGAGTGTGTTTGTGCGTGTGTCTGTGGTGAGTTTTGTGCGTCAATTTCTATGGCTGCCGCCAAGCGAGCTGCTGCCATTTGAAGTTAGCGCTTGCCCCAGGCATAAAAGGCAGGAACAAAATAACAAACAACCAAAAAAAAAAAAAGGAAATCAAATCTGTGAATGCGAATATGAGTGCTTATTTTATTCGGTTTTTAGTGGCGCATAAAATGACCGCGAATCATTTGTGTGTGTGCTCACATTAAGCATACGCCGCATCGGCCATGCTGCCTGTTTATTTTTGCGGCCCGCTGTAAATCTCTTTTACACGCCCAGGGACAGTCATGGTCAATCCAAAAATACCGCATAATTGAGATATAAACGCAAAAATTTCGTCACAATTCTTTGACACCGAAATGCGTAAATAAATGAGTCTGTCGGCAATTTCAATCAGCATCGACAGTTGTGGGCTGATTGAAATTAATGGGCAACCCGTTCAGATCCAACGGGAACCGCTGCTGCTGCTGCTGCTGTTGCCACAGATCGATTTGAACTGCGGCGCCACCTTGACTGACATTGCCCTCAGGCCGGGTAGACCCTGGGCTGGCCGCAACGCAGCGCCTTGTTCATCGCTAATTCAAACGGCTCTGCGTATGGCCAAAATCAATTTGTACAACTAAGTTGCTTTATGATCGCTGCCAACAGCGAGTACGATTGCGATGTCAACGGCCGATGTCGACTGAGGCTGTCGCTGTTGCTGGCCCTAGCTTGTTAGCAGTTCAATCAAAATTGTTGGAGGCATATTAATTGGAAGCGCCACAGTTGCTACTATTTGCGATCATATTATAACGCTTTGTTATTATTGATTTGTATATATATAAATATATATGGCAATATATTTGACGCACGTGACACGGCTGCAAAGTGTTATTGTTCCCTTTGAGCTTACCTATACATGTCTTATACTGATGCCCATACTTATACCTAAGCCTAGACAATCACGTTCTAGGCATTTAGTTGGACATATCCCCCAAGGACTTTTTTTGCTACTAATTGGCAACTTTTAACACCTAAATTGAACATTTCAATTTATTACCATTATTATATATTATTATTTAAATGTTTTTTTTTAGTTCCCTCAGATTTGGACTTTAGCAAAGCTTTCAACAAACGCGCGCTAGTTGCCAACTAGGTGTGTGTCCATGCTGTAGGTTGTGGTATTTGAGAAACCATAACTCTAATACTGGCCGCTGGTATCAGCTAAGCTAAGTCAATTACGCTTTCGCAATGGTTGGTGTCTTTGGTAATGTTTTCCGCTTGTAGTTTTTTTAAACATAGTGCGTTTTCGTCAAGTTAGTATGCCTGTCGTTAAGTTTCAAGCTTGGTGAACAGCTAGTTGTAATTGGTATATGTATAAGACTGAATACGTATAAGACTGATCGTTTCTACCCGAAAGTAATTTTTTTAAACTAAAAAATTAATGATGATATCAGATGTTTACTTATCATATTCTGTATAATAATAAATATACATAGAATTTCCCTGCTTAATTTAATTCATCTTTAGTTTAATTTCATACGCTCCATATATCATACAAAAAGGTCAACTGCAAATTGTATAACAGATTCCATGTAAATATGTCAGTTTATACAGTTCTTAAATGTGCGACACATGGCAGCCAGTTGGCTCCAGCGTGTCTGCACTTTTTGGTACCTGAACTATAATGCAACAAGATCTCTTGTCGTGCAAAATCGTGTAATTCTAGCAGCGCACAACATCAATGAATGCCATTCAGTCGGAGACCCAGACTGCAAATTGCGATGAGTAACTCTTCGTGGCAAACGGTGGGGTTGGGGTTGCTGCCTGGGCCTGTGTTGGGTTGGGGTTGTGCTTGTGGAGCATGTGTCGTTTCGGGAGCTGACTCTAAGCACACATTTCGCGATTGTTTACACACTTTGGTCGCTTGTGGGAACGGGCTGCGACCGAGTCGAACCAACTGACACGATCTGCACTTGGCTGCGCCTTCAAAGACTGTGACAGTTCTGATATCGGATTACCAACCAGCCAGGGCAATAAAAATAACAACATCAAGCGCCCAACTTTAATGCTTCCCCATACAGAACAAGTGAACATGTTAAAGACAGCGCTGACTGACTAGCAGCTACCCTGTGTCTATCTCAGGGCATTTTATAGTATTGTTTTTTTATTATATTTATTTATATTTGAGAGTCCATAGAATAAGAATATAAATATATATATATATATATATATATATATATTAAGAGTCCATTGAACAAATTTGGTATCTCTAGCCCTGCCAATCTCTCAGATCCATGGGACCTGATGGATATAAATTCTGGGGACTGTTAAGGCTAATCATGAATGTTAAGAATTGAATATATTTATAAAGACATATTTTGAATTTAAAGCAGCTTCCTTTCGTCTCACATCCCTTTAACCAATTGTTATAGGGCATACAAATATCGTTATTAATATGTGTATATATCTATATGATATTTACATATGGTCATTTTCACACACACACATACGCGCACTGGAACGACAACTGAGCTGCGCATTAAGCACATTTTAATTAATAGGCACTGTGGCAGGCGACCAGACGCGCGTAGTCTCTGGCCGCAGGCACTGTTGCTCAGTCTTCGCTCCGACTTCTTCGCGATGTGGCGAAACGGCCGCGGATTAGAACCAGCACCTAAAAAGTAACGTGTCAGGGCTAAGCAGAGATTCGACACCTGGGCCATTGGGGCACATCCAGCCGGCAGAGAGCCAGCGAAGAGCTGCCATGTGCTGGTGCGCACGTGTCTACTGGACGGTTCTGCATAATCTGTTCGCGCGCTTCTACAACAGCCTGACGGAGCGCGGCTATCGGCAGGGCTGCTGCGTCTGCTGCTGCGGCGGCTACAGTCGCCAGGCCGTCGACGACGACGGTGACGTTGACGCTGACGCCGACTGCGACGCGGCCAAACGAGTTTCAGAACCGATCGTTGATGACGATCAGCAGCGATCCGCACCACACGATTATGTCATTGTGGGTAAGTTCTGGGCGAGCGCTTTGATAATGAAGAGCAGTTATCTTCGGCATGCCAAAGAGTAAATACCCTTCCAAAAGAATACTATGCGATAAACATAGATATATCTAGATGTTGATAACATTCTTATTTATTATATTTTCTTTATTCATGTTTAGGGACTCTTGTCAAACAAGTTAAAGTCCTTCTTGGTTGAGTTATCTTAAAGAACAAAAATTTTAATCCAATTTTAAACCGATCGTTACTCCGCATCATCACAAGCTTCCTAACAGGATATTGTAGATTCTGTCTTGAGAGCAAAGAAATTGAAGGAGACATTCTGGAGGATTGTTCAGCTTTGAGCAGGCTGAGACTTGCTGAGCTTTCTCAACGATCAGAATCTTTATAACAGTGCAGGGAAAATCGTTGCATTCTTGCACGTCATTTAATTGGAGCTATAAAGATCATTTTCCAATGGGCGGCGCAATAGAACCAGTTAATTTTTTTTTACAAAAACACATTTTCCGGGCAATGTGTTCCATTTATCTGTCGGCCATTTTTTTAACAATTTGTTTTTAGGAGATAATTATGTATAATTACGTCTTAGTCTGGTGGGGACAGAAAAATTTAATTGTCTAGTCAACCCAGAGGAGTCGGCTTCGCCCCTGATTAACTTATACATAAATATTATATCAAGCATACGATTAATCAAAGCGGGAAGATTTATTATCAGGAGTCTACTGGAGTATATATCCCAGTTTAGTTCAGGAAGAGAAAACTACAAGACAAATTAAATGTCTTGATGAATCGATCAAATATGTTAGGAGTGCATAATAGATAGTCAACTCCGATCAAGATATATTGATAAATATAAATGTTTTTTATACAAAAACTCCACAGTTCCTATGGCAGCTATATGATATAGTGGTCCAATTATCCGAGTTCGATACATGTGTATGTAAAGACGAATATGCAAAGTTCAATAAAGAAAGCAATACAACTGGGACCGTTTGCCTAGAAGCAGACGGACATGATTATATAGGCCCGTGTGCTCGGACTGATCAAATATGTATTTACCTTACACGCCCACACACTCACACACATCATACTTAAACGCAGACGATGCTGATGCCAACTATGTGGAGATCGAGCAGCGGCAAATCGAGACGGAGCCATACTACTTCACCGTGGATCGGGACATGGCGGAGCACATGCTCTGTGGACGTGAGGATGGCGCCTGTTTGGTGCGTCCCTTCAAGGCGACGGATGTGTGCATCAAATACATTGTGAGCATCTGTGCGGATCGGCAGTTCTATCACCTGTTTGTGCGCCAAATCGATGGACGACAACGCTTCGCCATTGGCCAGTTGAAGCCGCACGAGCGGCATTTCGCCTCGCCCTGCGAGATCATCGAATTCTACGTGGAACACGCGCTCCTCTGCACCAACAAGCAGCGCAGCCAGAGCGTTCGCCTGAGGCCCATCAGCTGTGCCTAGGCTGGCAGGACATATGCATGCATATAGACATGATTAGAGTTTAGGTTATCGTTTATTGGGTTTATGAGTAAGATAAATTATGTACAAATTCCGTAAATTAATTATAAAGTTAGTTAATTAGGCAGCCGGGATTATTAGGTGGCCACAACGGCCTTGAAGGCGCACTGGTTGTTCTGCATCAGGGCGGGCCAGAGGAAGGCTTTGATTAGGTCCGAGCGGCGATCCGACTGCGGATGACGCTCGTGTTTCTCGGGACGCAGAAAACCTAAGAAAATAGGGCAAGAACTTACATTAATAATAAGTAAAATATATTATTTTGAGAAGCAATATATAGAGTACCTACAAAATGCAAATGTATTCTTAATAAAATAAATTTACAAATTTTAAATTAAACATTTTTTACGTCCCCAAATGTCTAAGAAACTCTTTAAATATCCCAAATATGTTTCCAATATTTTAAATGTAGCGAATTTAAATGCAAGCAATTTACAGAACAAACCAAAAACCAAATGAAATATTGCATGAAAATTCGTTTTTGACCAAGTTATATAAATTTAAAGTCCAGAAGGGCCGTTTACTAGGGTCTTTTCCTGCCATTATAATATAATATTTTACAAAATAATGCAACCGTCTAGATATTATGTTGATATCAGAATCATCGACTAGAAACTACATTTGAAGATACCAAAGGGAGCCTTTTACTCATCAAATTTGTAGATATGATCGATAGATAGATGCATTTGTAATTTACTTACCCAAATTAAAATCGGTGTCCAGATAGTAGGGCGCCTTTTGGTTGATCATGCGCCAGGCCAGTCGCACGCAGGCGCTGACGAAGTGCGTCAGCGGCGGACAGGACTCCAGGCAGGGATACTCGTGCAGTGTGGACAGCACCTGATTGAAGACGGACCGTTCGATCTCGCCCAGCGGAAAACTGTCCACTGTCTCGTGTAGATGATGGCGCACAGAGCGATCCAGGGCCAAAGTCGTCTCGCTGCTGCTCTCCAGCGGGCAGTTGAGCACACGGCGCACCTCCAGCACCTTGCGCTCGCGCATACCGTGGCACAGGCGAAAAGAAAGCTGAGCATCGTGAACAACATTGAAAAGAAGAGAAAAGAAGAAAAAGAAGGTCTCAAAATATGCCAATCATCTGTGCAATTGCTGCCCACGGCCAAAGACCAGACCAGCTGATCCGGCCAATTGCCAGTGTCATTCATCCATCTATCCACTTGTCTCTATTCAGCGCCGAAGATCGAAAGTTATTTATCTACAAGCCTCAGATGGCTGCCTACGAACAACAAGCTCCTCCAGCCGCAGTTGGGCCGATCGCCAACGTAATTTCTCAGCATTTCTGCTTGGCCCGGTTCGCCCCGAGGCGCTTTACTTTCTTCTATAACACTTAATCATTGCCACAAACTCGAGCAGCTATCACGCCAGCTTGCAGCGTTGCGTTGCAAATTGATATTTTGCAATAACAATTTGCTGCCCGGTTGTATCTCAACCGCAGCAGCAACCGCAGCCTAACTAGCCGCTCCTAACGTCATAATCAATACGAATTATAAATTTAATTTAATTTAATCGTGTGTTAAATACATTTTATTTGCAAAAATAAAAGTTCATGCAAACGAACTCCTTATTTAGTTTTTAAATATTCTATCTCAAATATACCAAATATACCATCTATTCAGAAATAAAAAATCAAAAATAAAATGAATTCCAAGCATGACAAAAATAGAATATTATTTCTAGACTTCATATATATTAAATTAAATAATATTATACGTTATTAACGGTTCCAAAGACACAAATAACTGTTTTATCATTTGCATTTAAATTTGCATTTGAATAACGGATCAAGTTTCATCTATTAAATTGAAATAAACAATAAAATTAACAACAATAGAAACCTAGCTCTAAATTAGGTAAATGCTTCCATTAGCCCTATGCCCATTTTCATTTAATTTAAGCTAGTTATTTTATAGTAACCCATCATCACGAATTTATAATTTTATAATAAATATAAATTATATATTAATTCCTGTTATAAATCTCCTTATATGGATTAAGTTGACCGAAAGAACTTGATCAGTTATCTATCCCATTCAACTTCTTAGACATTGAATTTCCATAAGCGAATTATTAGACATACTGTTATTTAAATTCCTAATTATAAAATTTAAAAAAATATTAACGCTAGTTCGGTTTACTGTTTGAATCAGCTTCCCGCCTTTCCGTTCGGCTCGTGCGCCTTAGGAATGCATCAATTTAGTTTATAATTTATTCTTCCACTGAAAATATTGTAAGCTCTAAATTGGATCTCTACCCAAAATTGGAGTATACCCAATATGACTACATACATAATGATCTCAATGGCTTTGACCCAACTTTTTGGAGTTTTGTTCTGTGTCTTCCACAAAATATATTAAAAAAAAAAAGATTTTGTTTCGTTTTTTTGGTCAACTGCTTATGCTTCAGTTTCGGTTAATACTTAGTACAGAAATAAATTGGAATTTGTTTTAAATAAATTTATACTATTATACTTTATACTAATTTATACTATTCACATTCTTTAAAATCAAATAAGTTGTGGCCCTAGATATGAAGCTTTATGAAAACCAAAAATTTGAATAACGACATACTAACTAAAACTAATAACTAACTAATGTGATATTAAGGTAAAGCTTTTGGGTTCGCTGTTTTTAAAGAACAAAGTCAATTTAGAGTTTAGTTTAAAGACGATTTGAACCACTTGCCCAGTTCAAATAAATACATAATTAATATCTTCGTCCATATCAATAGAAAGATAGTTTTAATATCAGAGACTAGGCACAACAGTACCCTGAGGTTTTCCAAATTCTGATTTTTCGGTACACGAAAGTCTGCTTGACTAAGCTACTTACCACAATCATGGAGAAGAGTATCTTGGCCTTCAGACTGTGCACATGCTTGAGCTGGGGCAAGCTGTCCAACGCCTCCAGGGCGTCCGCTCGGTTCTCGATGTAGAGATTTCGATAGAGTGACACGAATTCGCTGTGGAGAGAGACGAATAAGACGTGGGATGCGAGTGAATAGAAGTCAAGTGAGAGTATGCTATAGAGGGGGGCGCGCGAGTGCGTGGGTGGCAGCACAAGCGAACCAGGTCAAGTGAGCAGAGGAGAGAAAACGAGTTGACCAGCTTACCTGCCATCCTCGCTGGCCGAGTCATCCGAGTGGTAGCCATCGCTGCAGCTGCTGCCGCCGGCGCTGCCAGCGGCTGTCACTTTAGTGGCCGCCAGTGGACTGGGCGGCACACTCTCGGGTCCCATCATGTGGAGCACCACCTCGCAGCCGCGCGAGAAGTTCATCAATAGGCCTGCGGCCGGGCGCTTCTCGATGTGCGCCTGGGCATCCAGACGCTTCACCTGGCCCACACAGGACAACACCTCCTTGTCGTTCTCGACGCGCGTGCTGAGATTCTCGACGAGCGTGTGGAGCTGCTTTAGCGCCGGCTTGTCCAGCATGGTCAGCAGAGTCTTGTTGTCTATCAAACGCTGCTGTATGTCGCCATAGTTAATGGCCAGCAGCCGTTGGTGCGATGAGTGCGCCGGATCCTGATTGATCGTGACCATGCTCAGCTCCTCCAGCTTGTGTATGGCCATCTTGTATGTATCCACATGTCGTTGCAGCTCAGTCTTGAGTGCCACATGCAGCGATATCAGCTGCCCGGAAGCATCTGTGGTCAGTCCATGCACGCCCAAACCCTGGACGGCATTGTCAAAGCTGCGTCGACGTTCGCGCAACGCCTGCCGCAAGCCAGGCTCAAACTGCGCCAACGACTGAAGTAACTTGGAGCAGCGCTGTCGCAGGCCAGACTCATGTGGATTGGCAAAGAGGCGCACCAGCTGCCAGACAACTGTCTCGCTGGGCACATCCGGCCTGGGCGTGCTGTTCAGCGTGGTCAGCCTACAATTGGAGCAAGTGGCGGGTAGTTGGCTAAAAGGTGAAGGCGACTTATTGAGGGACTTACCTCGTGTAGAAGGACTCCAGCAGATAGGCGCTGTGCGGCAGATGTTCCAGCAGCAGATCGATGGGCAGCTCCGCAATCACCGAGTGCAGCACCGAGGGACCCAGCCGACCCACCACGCCCGCCGCCTCCCGATACTGCCGGCCCTCCGAGAGCAGCATCAGACGGCGCAGCACCTGACGCGGACTGGTCAGAAATTCGCGACCATCGCGCGAGGGTCCGCGTATGCGCTCCCGACTGTCCGCCATGGACAGATACTGGCTCTGCAAAATGGCGTCCTGGTGATTCTTCAGCAGCAGCTGTTTCCTGTCGACAAGGCCGAGTCTGATTACTGTGCTCGAGGGCAGTGGCTCAATGGGTTAATGTGGAGTGCTGCTTTATACAAATGCGGAATGTTCGATGCAATGTTGATGCGATGAGCGAGAGAGAGTGGGAAACAGACAGAGAGAGAGAGTGAGCTGTGAACTGCGTCTTACAACAACTTCGGTTCCATGTGCGTTGCGTGGGTGATCTGCCAAACTGGAACTCAATCTCAGATATTTTATCTATGCGTAGTCTCTGCTGCTGCACAAAGGAAAAGAAAGAAAATGCCATTTGGCAATTTTTAATAAATAGGAAATCTGTCTGGGTAAGAATTCGCTTAGGCACAAACAACAAACAACAATTGCCACTTTCACCGTCGGCCTGAGGCGGGGTCCACATAATTTATCATAACTTAAGACCTCACGCGTAATCACAAACAAACTAACTAACGAGCCGACTTGAGTTGAGTTGAGTCGAGGCTCTGCAATTGTTCAGGAAATACACCCTTTACATGTCTGCATACTCACATATCATATCTAGCCATGAATGTGATTGCCAAAACAACAACAAGTTTGCCATTTGTTGTGGGAGTTTTTTCCATTCCGCACATGACAACTAGGAAAACAAGGCGTAAACAATGAAGCACTAAAAAATCAAATCGAAGGAGCAGCTTTTAAAGCTATTCAAAAACCGTGCCATAAATAATGCTGAATAATGGGCATTTAGCATTGAACATACTTATTTAAAGTTAGCTATTTTA